GCAGGAATGAGATTTGCAATTGCTTTCAAGGTGCTTTTTAAGCTCTGCATGGAAGTTACCCCTCTAGTTCCTTCACACAGTGACTGTAATGAATCTGAAAGTCTTCCTGAAGCTGTGCTTTGTCAATGCCAAGAACCCATTTGAAGAGAAACAAGCACGTCCAGAATCAAGGTACCAATCCAATCGTCTCCAGCCAGTGGGGCTTTAAAGCTTAACATGTTTCAAAGGATGGCTTCCTTTGTCTGGAGTTCTAAGGCACTTGTGAAACCTTCGTTCAGTGAGGAAAAAGAAAGAGTGGTAAAAAACTCATTGCAGTAGTTATCTGCTACTGTCTAGCAAGCACTGATGGCTTACGTGATGATCTGGAAACGCAAACACCACACTAATCTGCTTCTGTGAGAGCACAAGACTGCCACGCTGCAAGACTTCGTACAGGAGGTGGGTTTAAAGTTCCTCCTCTCCATCAAAGACGACAACACTTCACAAGGGACAGAGCCCTCCAGCCTCGATCAGCCAAGGAGGGTTTTTAGGCATGAACCCTTCAAGCCTCTCTGGAAGCAGTAGCTGTTAGCCTGCATAACTGGAATTGTTTTGCACTTGTTTGCAAAGGACATGCACTGGGAAAGAAATCTAATTTATATGCAAATGGATGCATGCAAATTACTTTGTGAGCTACCCTTTAACCCTTTGCGTGGGTGAGGGATATTTTTAGCTTTAACTATGAATAGTAGCTCTGTGCTGCGTGTTTCAGAGCGGCAAGGCAGAGCTGAGAACTCCTAGGTCAAGCAGTTATCCAGGGGCAGCATGAAACCTTGTGGAGTGGGGAAGCACCCAGTCTCACCATTATGCAGCCCCTCCCTCCCTCATCTGTTTGCCACTGCTGGCTGCCTGAAGCCAAGAAATGTAACTTGTGTGCCTGAGGGGGAGTGTTTAAAAAGAAAGGGAAAGAAGGAAAGGTAAACTGGCAGCTAAGCCTGCCCTAGGTGCAGGCTTTCACCTGAATGAGACTGAGGTTGGATCCTTGCAGGCTGCAGTAAGAAATGCTTTCCACTGCCTAAAATCAAACGCTGGCTAGGAAAGGATGCTTGAGGGACTAGTAAATTCAAGGCCCCAACAGGTGCAGAGATGTGTGTGTGAGGACCTACGGCTGTGTTGCAGCTGGCCCCATACCAGGTTTTTGGCGCTGTGTCTCACACTTACACTGCTTGCTCCTCCAGCTCCCCGCCAATGCGCTGGGACATGTTCTTCAGCACCCCGATGCTGCCAGAGACCAGCTCCAACTGCTCATCTTGCTGCTCCACAATCAACTGGGGCCAAAGAGAAGGGAAACAGGCAATTACAGGTCTGCCGCCTCCTGCAGCTGGGTCAGAGCCAGCTGATCCAGTGGAGAGACACTCGTTGCTCGGCCAACATCAACTGCAGGGTCAGGGCACAGACCTAAACCACCAGGAATGAGGACCGTGTTCCTAAGAAATGCTGGAGAAGCGACAGCCACAGGGAAAGCCTCCCCAGCGTGGCATCTCTGTGGCACAGCAGGCTGCAGTCTCCTGACATCCCTGCAAATCCAGCCTCAGCTCAGCCATGCCCCCTCCCTTTCCCTGCTGCACCCACTGCTAAGGTGACTCTTGAAAGCCACAGGGGCTGGTCATCAAAACCTCCACAAGCCCCCCTGCCCGCAGCAGGTATGGCAGTGGGCACCAGGGAGCCACGCTGATGCTATGCCTGGGAAATGCAACCTGGAACATGCTGCAGCTAACAAGGGGTTAATGCGAGTAAAAGGCTGTTGCAGTTTCTACAGCTAAAAATAGCAGGCCTGGCTCCCAGTGTGCCAAAGGAACAGGTCTGCTGATGTTTTAAGTCATTTTCAGGGCACAGGCATGCTAAGGATTAGATTTACCCTAGTTACCTACTTCTGAGTCTATTTATCTTCCTAGAGTCACTAGGTAAAACTCGTCTGAAAGCCGGGGTGGCGTCATGGGTCAGGAGCTTTAGCAGAGTTCGCTGCCTCCAAGAAGCTGCCTGTTTAAAGGCCCGTGTTTGGGTGGGCTGCTGCACGAGGGCTTCCCTGCTGCCCGGGCACCTCTCCAGACAAACTTCCCCGTCAGCGGGAAAGCACCTCACCAGGGGTCCTTGCAAAGCCCTCGCGCAGGCTTTCTCACGAATCGCGTGTTGACAAAGGCAGGAAAAGGAAGCAGGCACGTGATCCTGCTCCTAGCCTGTTCTGATGAAGATGCACACAAACAACAGCAAACATCAGCTCATTTTTTAACCAGGCGAATCTGCGCAAGAGAAATGGGCTCTCTTCTGTTTGCAACATTTCTACTCTTCCAAGGATTTCAGCAATCCTCATAGCATTAAAGCTTAGTGTCCTACAGCTTCCAGATCATGTTGCTTGCCTTCTGCACAGGGCAGAAGACCCAAGCCTCAAACATCAAAATTTCTGCTCCAAGACGCATCCAAAGCTGTGCTGTACAGGAAATGCATGCACTGGTATACACTGCAAACAAAGAGGAAAGCTGTCAGGCTCCTGGATCTTAGACTGGCCAAGAAGTGGATTTTTTTTTTTTTTGGCTCCTGCAGCCCATACCTCATTCCCCCGGCACCCATTTGGCAAGCAAAGCTATTTAGTCTGCTTGGTGCCAGCTGCCTTACCTGTTGTTGCGCTTGCTGCTCCTCGATGAAGTGTGAATTTGCTAATTGCAGCTCCCGGTCCAGACGGCTGTATTTGTCAGGTCCAGAGCTCCAACTCTGACTCCCGCTTTCTCCCAGGAGTGCCTAAACAGATGCAGAGAGCCCTTAGCAACACCCTTGCGTCTGCTCACAGCCTGTCCACAGTGGGAAGGCAGATGAGGCAATACTCTTGTACACAGGCATACAGCATCCTTTTCCTCCTGCTCTGTTGCTATGCAGCCAGAAGTGCTGTCACAAACTAAAACAACGCCATGCCAAAGTGCCAGCCTGGGAAGTCTCTGCAGCCTGATATTGCAGATACACCTCTCCAGCAGCAGGAGAGCTGGAGTACGACTGACAGATGGTGTACACAGGAGGTCTGCACAGCACAAAGGACTAGCAAAGATCTGCTCAAGAGGCAGCGCTGTGTGCTAGGACATGTAAGCTGGAAAGTATCCGGATATATTGTGTTAACAGATGTATAGCCCAAACTGAGCGCTGTGCTACTAATGACAGGGGCTTAGGAGGGTCTGGATAAAGTACTTAACCACTTGATCTGACAGTAAAACAGCACAATACATAACCACAGCAGTGTTGCATGCTCATGTTCTTTGATTCAGGCTACCTGTTCCTCTGGCATACCGTTCAGGTGCCAGCATACAAGATTACACTTGCTACCTGCTCTACAACCTGAATGGAGAAGCTTGTGCAAAGCCAGCAGAGACGTGGCTTTCCAGCTGAGTAAGTCTGGTCCCTGGAAGGGGAATGACATGAGCAACAGATGCTCATGAATGAACATGGCCTGCAGGTGATGAGCTGTATCCTGCAGCACTATGAACGGCTAGGGAGCTCTGCCCACCAGTGTGGAGGCAAGGCCGACTCTTAACAAGACCACCCCACAGCTTCTGGTCATGGGCGGGAGGGGACGACCAAGTATTGGTGAAGAACAGCAAGGCAATGACTAGGCTACTCCAGCAAGGCTAAAAAAGAGACCGTCTCTACAGTTCATCTTCCCTACAAGGTTCAAAGAGGGGTGAGGAAAGGTGATGGACTGACTTGCCAGGAAGCCAGTGGGACATCTGGCTTTGTCTGCCCCCGAGACACTGAGCAAGCTCCTGGTTCTCTCCAGTTCGTGGCAAGCATAGCTACTGCTTACTTAACGTGGTGCACTAGTTCTGCTGCGGCTTCAAGAGCAAGGCCTCTGTTTGCCAGCCTTAGCCTGTGAGGGTCAGGTCGCCCCCAGCCAGCCTCTCAGACAGAGAGGCAGGCTGGAAAAGCCGCTGCAGCTCAGCACAAGCTTCACAGTCTGGAGGGAAGGTGAGGGGCTGGGGAAGGGAGAGGAAGGCGGCAAGGGGAAGTCAGTTTTCCTGACCAGATGTCGCTGAGCGAGCTGGGCCATATGGTCTCCTGCAGCTAGCAGGAACTTCGCGCAAAGGAAAGCAGCAAAACGCAGAGACAGCTACAGACTTGTTTGAGCAAGGGTGTAAGGGACTTTGCTTCTTCAAGTGTTTGCCAAACACGTCAATTAACCCCGTAACAAGTCCAGGAACCAGCTCTGTGCTTCTCAGTAGCTTGTTGCAGTTTGCCATTTTTGCCACAAGTGGCAAGACTGATGCAGCCAGATAAGTTAATTGTACAAAGTATGCACCAACTTTTACTGAGGCAGCTCTGGAAGTCAGCTCTGAGATCTCCTTACAGCCCTCCCATCAGCCGGGGAGGAGCGCAAGCTGCATCTATTTCTATTCCTTAGATTACAAGAATCCTTGAGCTTCTTCCATCTTCTTACATGGCTAACTATTACGAGAGGCAGCTGTGTGAAAGGATATCACAGCATCTTGGCGCCTACATACAGCAGAGCGCAGGATTACATTCACCAACGTGGATTCTGAGTCTGTTCCCCTCGAGGAGGAGGGAGATTCCCCTTTCTGCGGGATGATACAACACTGACAGTTGTACACAAACGGATCTGAAGACAGAGACAGATGGCAAGTGCTGACTTATTGCTTTGAGAGACAGGCTTGGAAGAGGGTGGCAGCAATGTGCCTGCGAGAACCAGCTCTCTCAGGTCAGCAAAACAGACATGGTTCAAACACACAGCTTTGCTGCAGCATGCAAGCCCCTTCCCAGAACAAAGGTTTTTAAGGTGATAACTACAGACAGTATATAATTGTCATTACAGCTTTTACGCAGTTTTCATCAACGCTATACACTCTACCTTATGATGTGGGGCCTCGGAGTAAGTGAAAATGGAAGTTTCACCTAAGACATACCTTAAGATAACAGCTGCTAGCACAGATAAATCCTCCTCAATCCTTAAAGTACCAAATAGCCACTGCATTCACTTAACTTGCCTGTTTCTGGTTCTCACCTGCCTGTTTTTTCTTTCAGCCAGTGTCTGCATGGAGGAGTTTGACATCTGATCCTTCATTTCCTGTTTGTTCAACGAAAGAAGAAGTATGTGAGCATTGGATTTGAGGTGACAGGCAGTTTCAGGGTGCTACAGGGCTGTCTACACCCAGCAAGGCTTCTTTAGGAGTGAGGGAAGGGAGATCTTCTTTGAAAATGTACAGTTTCAAAGAGTCTGGAAGGATATTGTAGAAAGCTTCACCGCAGTTCATTGTTTTACTAATACTAGAATCAACAGCAATGGGATATTTTGAAAATATTCCTTATTTACTATTCATTTTTTTCCACTGCAGCCAGAAACACTTTGATTTGTATAATATTAAAACTAATGTTCCCGTTGATAGGCTGTAAGGAAGAGTCATGTTCTTCAAGGTCTTGGAAGCCTGTAACCCCCTGCACTTTATTCCCAGTTGCATCTGTTTTAATATTGCATAGGACGAGATAGATTTCTTGTCCTGTGGCCAGCCCCTCTGACTGTGCCTACGTTTTCTCTTTTATCAGTTAAATTTTGCTGTTGAGTTCCTGTAGAAGATCGCTAGTCACAGAAGGCTCCCCATCACAATGTAGTCTAGTTTTTATAGGGCAGATAAGCAAGTAGTCAATATGATCTAGCAGAGGTTGATCCAGCAGCACAGTTCTGATGTCACCAGAACATTTAGGTATGTTTTACTGTTAGGGATGTGTCATACATCACCTAAGAGCACCAGATCCCACTTGGTTACTTCTCACCAGCTAACGCACATGCTGCTGCGCATCACAAATTACCCTTAACTGGAAGTCAGCTGCATAATGCCACTAACGAATTTCATTTAACAGTAAGAGACGCTGCTCTAAAACCCATTAGCCAGCAGTTTCCACCCAGGAAAAGAGGACCGTAGAGAGGGCTTGCCTGATCCTGCCCATTTAGGAGTGAACTACACCAAAGGGAAGGCAGTGAGCACATGCCTGCTACCTGGGGCCAGCGTGGTTTCAGGATCAGTTCCCAGGCAGCAAGCCTTAGGAACTGCATCCAGATCACAGGACTGGAGGTAGGGTAATAAGTTTGCTGCCAGCCACAGCAATGCATCTTGTGAAGCAGGAACATCAGTGTCATGAGGGGCAGCAGAAACTAAGCTACGCTCAGTGTAGCTATTAATAGGGAGAAAACTTCCTAACTAGCAGCTTGTTACCAGGCAGTGAAGCCCTTTTGGGAAGATGTTTCTTCTCTATTTATTACCACCAAGTTGTTAAAATCCTCCTTTTGCTTCTGAAGTGTGAGCTTAAACTAAAAAAAAAAATAAAATCTCTGAGTTAAAAATAAATCTGGTAGTTGTTTGGACTATTTTGTAGCGGTAGGAAGTTGAAGTCACCGCGTCAACGACGCTAGGCTTTAACCATCTGTCAGCATTCAAAGTGGACTCTGTTTTTGAAAACTAGCGCTACCAAAGCACAGGACAGTCGCGATTTCCTTCAACTCTGAAGGGAGCCACCAGTCTCTCCTGCACTGCAGCGGGGTTTTTACTCTTCCTCCCCAGTTACTATAGGTTGCCAGGCTTGCTGTTGCAAGAGAAGTGTGAAGACTGAAAAGGGGCAGCAGCAGAAAAGGAGGGTATGCTGTGGGGTACCTGCACCATCCCAGCCCCAAACCCATCTGGGCAGTCCCAGGAGTGAGTGCATGGGGAGAGGAAGAAGCCTGAGAGAGAGCAGGTAGCAGGATTATTCTCTGCTCTCCAGTTCAGCACGGAAATGGCCACAAGCTTTCCTTTTTTTTCAATCACCTAAGCACTCCCCCTGCCTTCCCCGCGCTCCCATCCCAAGCCCACGCTCCTTACCCTGACCACCTGCCGCGTGCTCGTGATGAAGGCTTTCCTGATACCCAGCTCTGTCGCATCGAGGTTGAATTTCCGTGGGTTTGCCTCAACAATGCGTAGGCAGCGAGTCAAGGAGTCTCCCCCCCGTTAGTGGTGTTGGGTACGCACACAGATACACAAACCCCTGAGCGCGCTGCAGCGGGGATCTAGCAAATTGCCATCGCGCTGTCCCTTTTCCCAAAATTTGATGAGCAAAGTATGAAACACTGGAGGAAAAAACAGGCATGGCAGCAATGTACTGTGCAGTACACGCACCAGTGTGAGGCTTCTCTCTTGCATTTTTTTTTGGTTCTCTGATGCTGTGCAGTGCTTTCAGGAGCGCTCAAATGAACACAAGGGAAAAGGAGTATTTCTGGAAGCCAGCCTACAGTATGACTGACTACACAGAAATCCAAATTCATACAACACAATAGGCTTTCTAGAACAAAGCATCTTAAAATATACCTTGTCAAAAGGAAAACAAAAAGGCAAAAGGAAAATCCCTTTGCTGAACACGTTTGCCTCAATTTCTCATTTTCAGATTGAGAAAAGCTGATGTAAATGCAAAATGCAATCCCAGATAGTCCTGACTTCTGCAAAAAGTAACTACTGGCAAGTACTGGTATTTGACTATTTAGTACAACTCGGGAACTGCATGTCACTACCTCCAAAGGACCACAGAAAGGATATTAATTGTTTCATCCAAGTCTTCCAGGTCCCACTCAATGCTCCGCAGGTTATTCCTGAGCTCATTAGTGGTCCAATCTATTTCTTCTCTCGTGGCGATGGAAGGATCTTGCAAGAGCTCTGTCCACCTCTGGAAGAGCCCCTGGGCAGTGTTCACAGCTTTCTGCACCTCCCTGCAGCCGGGGCGATTAAAGAGAAGCAAAAGGATTATCATCAGTTGCTCTGCAGCAGCCACGGCAGGACAGCCCCGTGTCCAGCTGAGCAGGGAAGCACAGCTTTCTCCCAAACATCTTTCCTTCAAACAGTTTTTAAGTTTATTTTGTAAAATAAGGATTTGCTCTACCTGCTGGACAATCCCATCTCATGTTGCAGCACAAAATGCTGAGCAACAACTGGCAGGTCAGCTATTAATGAAGGGACCTGTTTCTTTAGGGGAGGTTTCTGTCGAGTGTCACACAGGCAAGCCAGGGCAGAGTGTCTGAACAAGGCTGCTCTTTAGTAATTAATGTTTTGCGTTCCTCTCAACAGCTCTCCTCTGAAAATTCTTGACTACCTATGTAAGATACCCCAAGGGCACACAGAATTACAGGAACTGTCCCCACAATACAGCCAGGCAGACTGTTGAGCGCAGCACTGTTTATTTTAATTCAGCATTTAAAAAATACACAGCTCTACTACACTGGCTTAGGGATCAGAAGTCTTTTCTGCTGCTCTAAGCTTTTCGGAGATGAGTGCGTTTACAGCACGGGAAGGCAGCTTTGCTGACAGCACTGAACGCTCCTTTGATGGTTTGGGGCAAGCAGGCCTGTAAGTTGGGGTCACGGTCTATCAGGGTGGTTATCTGTATTTAAGAATGCTGCGGTCCTGAGCTGTGAACTGCTCCCCCAGGTTCACAGGGAGCTGGGATGAGGGATGCAGATGAGACCAGACTTTGCTGGTGTGAAAGGGGCCACCACGAGCCCAAGAGCTTGCACACAGCATCCACGTAAGATGCAGGTGTTTATCCCCCGTGAAGGAAAGCAGGTTATCAGCGGGGAAAGCCCAGGATGGACGAGCCGAGCCCATACCCTGCAGGGGTGCCAGGAGTGCAGCTCTATCTATGTTACACCATGGCCTGAAGTACTCAACTTTGCTGTCGAAGCTGCAGTCTCTCGGCACCCTGACGTGTGTCCCTCCTCTTTTCGCACGCCTACGGCTCCAAGTCTGCCACATCTAGTGCCCTAAAGTCAGCAGCCCACACTGAGAATCCGGCAAGCTTTGTTCCTTCTACTACTTGCTAGCAAAAGTTTGGGTGTTTTTTTTTTTCATCTAGGCATACTAGGGGAAGTACCTGCAAGCAGGACTTTAAAGCAGAGCTGGACGTCCTCTGATGGGAGGTGTTACAAACTCCAGGAAAGCAAACCCAACGCAACGTGGATGGCCTCCACCAGCCCTTTACACCCCAACCTGCTGGGTAGTAATGCTGGGAGCGGCAGCACATCCCCTCTCCCCTCCCAGCCCTCCCACACACAGCGCTGGAACCTCTCTGGAAAGTTTGACAGGACGTTTGCTCCCCACCCATGGCGACTTGTATTTTTTCCCCTTAGCACCAGTTCAACCTGGCGGAGTGATTCACTTTCCGTGGCTGCACCGGCATCCCTTCCCACACCTCTTGCGCTCACATGGCTTTCCCCACCGCTCCCCTACGAGCACCTCTGCTGCTCCTGAGTGCCGCTTCACCGTGATACAGGGCAGGAGGACTAGCCTGCAGCTGAAGCTGGCCCCAGGGTAGCATTTAGAGTCTACAGCACTTTCGCCCTATTTTAAACTACAATTTTCCGCTCCTCCCGCCTCGACCACCTTTGGTTTGTGTTTGCCTTTGTTCAGGCTCTTCTCTGCTTGCTTCCTCTCGTGGCCACCGTCCACGCTGCAGCTTCCTCCCCAGGTTGATCCCCACTCCTCTCCATCTTTCCGCCTGGACACCACAGCCCCTGCCTCTTGG